TGCTGAGGTCAGGGCAAGAGTTGATGGACCCAGGAGCTGTTATAAACCCTGCATGTATGAGCTCAGAAAAGCCATGGGGAAAGCCTTGCATGTACAAAACTGATGCTAATATATCTCTTCAAGAAAGGCCTATAGAACTTTAAAAAAATTATTTTATTTTTTTATTTAATTTTATTAATCATTATCCTAATTTTTTTTCCTGTCACATTGAATCACATATATTTTTACAGTGTATTACATTTCTTTTTCCAGTATGAATATGATGTATATCAGTCAAGACAAAGACATTACTATGCACATCATCATCATCATGTAGCTTTTCATCTTTTTTTTTTTTTGGATTATTATTAGTATCCTCATTATTTTTTTTTAAAGGCCTGTAGAGCTTTGAGATTAAGGGACCAGCAGATGGTGTAATGGTTATGTTGCTGGATGCCCCCATGTAGTAGATTGTGTTTTTTATTTTAAATATTTATTAAATTTTATTTATTCGTTCATTTATTTTAATTTGACCAAAGAGAGACACAGAGAACAAGAGAGAGAGGGAAAGTGAGAAAGCAAGCCACCAGGTCTGGGACTCGAACTGTGGTTGGCCACGTGGGAGTGTCCAGCGCCTTAACCACCATGCCACCTGCTGGTCCTGGACCTGATGGTTTAAAACTCACACCAGGCATGTGTGTGTACATGCCCAAAATCTCAAGAAGAGAATGGAGGAGAAGAGATTGCGAGTGGCCATCCTCCTGGTGGGTGATTTCTCATTTTTTGTCTTTTTGTCTCTCTGTATCTCTCTGGCATGCACATACCCTCTATAGCAAAAATCTCCCTCCAAAAAAAAAGAACTTAAAAACTTTTAGATCACAACCCCCAAAGACAGAAAAGAAAGAAGGTAATTCATGCTAAATGGCAAAGCCTTATGACAATGTCCAAAATATGTCATTCTAGGTCCCAAACCACTGAGACTGATTAACATGGTTCTCACTTTTTCAAATTGCTCCATATTTTCAATACAAGGCAACATCTTAGATGGGTTTTTAAATGTATATGCCTTGTTTAAATAAAATAAATACGTAAATAAATTTTTTTCTTAGAAGTTGGTTTTTTGGTTATGTTTCCTCCTCTGGGCTGTGGACTACTGTACATCATTTTTACCATCCTACTTGCATATGTGACTCTTCTCAGCTATAGTATTTCCTTCTTGTCTTTGTTCTTTTCTGGGTTTTGTGGTCTTCAGTAAGGAATTTATAGTATTACTAGAGTCTAAGAAGTAAGATTTGTTCTACCTTTTGCTGCTCCAGATGATCCATGCTCCAAGACCTAAGTGTTTCTCTTTCTTCTGCCAGGTGGGTTATATAATCTATCAAAGAAGAATAAATACTTATTGATCATGATACTCAAAGAGTGCATTAAACCACATGGCATGCTGAAGCTGATCATTTCCCTAC